CGCCCCCAGGTCACCCCTCCTAAAACCCTTTCACTGGGACCTTGGTTTCAACTTGTGATTTTACGAGGATAGGAACATTCAGGCCAAGGCCCTATCATAGGGATTTTACATTAGTTGTTTTTTTTTCTGCCTGAAATTCTCTTCTTCCAGAAATCTGTGTGTCTAACTCCTTTGCCTCCTTCAAGTGTTTTGCTAAAAAATCTCATCTTTTCAGACACCTGCCCTGAATTCCCTATGTAATATCTCAGTTTCTTTCCATAATCACCACACTCATGATCTCCCTAACTGGAGTTTACTTTTCTTTATCATATCTAAAGTATTATATAATGTATTCTAGAAGACAGGCAGGAAGGCGAGTGGTTAGGAGCCAGTGGTCTTGGATTGTGAGAGGGATGTCTGACTGCTAGTTTAGGCGCGATCCCTGGCAGTCGGACATCCCCCCCAAGGGGTCCTGGATTTTATGCACCGAGCCTCTAGTATATATATATTGTTATTGACCATTTTCACTCATTAGAATATGAACTCTGTAAGGCAGTGACCTTGATTATTTTTTATTGATGTGCTCTACATGCTAGGAGAATGCCTGGTGCTTAGTAGATGCCTATGTATATTTGATAAAAGACTGAATAATTTCAATAAAACTCTTAAAAATCTGAAGAATTTGCAAAGTACTGTCTATTTTCCCTTGATGTGTAATGTTTGAGCTTAATCATAATTAGTAAATCTTACATAGTAATAATGAAATACATTTTTCTCCAAAAGTCAGTTATTTTTCAAGATATGGTGACATAGGATTTGTTTAAATTACTTTAAATACCAATTAATATTGAACTGAGATGTTTTTACTCAATAGAATGAGTGCTGCTAACAGTAAACTAAGATATGTGTATCTATTTCTCTGTTTCTCTAAGGTATAAATCCACCACGGAAAGTTTATGCTAACCCTGAGGATGTGGGGGAGGACAGTATAATTCTTCAGTGGGAATCCCCACAGGATAGCCATGAGGTCTACATTCAAATCGAAACCATACCAGAGAAAAGAGAAGTCATGACTTTTTTTGTAAAGGATGCTAATAGATTCAAGATTGATAATTTAATCCCTGGAATGACTTATGACATTGGAATGGCAACAATGATGAATGGGAATTTGAGTGAGCTGGTAACTATTCAACAAACTCTAAGTGAGAACCAAATACTTCTCATTTATTCTTTTATTTTAATTGCACATAAAGGCATGTAGCTTTGTTTAAGGTATGCTAGTTTACTTAAAGTAAAGCCTGATACATACACACAAAGCCTGATCTATAGAAGACCTTGATTATTGCTTTGTTCTATTCTTTAAACTTTTTAAATATTTATTTTTATTTATTCAATGTCTAAAATTTTACATGTCTCCTTTTTCCCCCGCTTGACCCCTCCCCAAGACAACTTTTTTCTTCAAAAGTTTGGTTGACATCAACAATTTTCCTGGCCATTTGTACAGTGTCTGACACCTGAAGTTGTATATCATTAACAGATATTTGCTGATCTTGGGGTACTATAAAATATTCTCCATAGACCCCGCTGATAGCAGGTTTTAAGTAGATTTTTAGTGTGCTTTGTCTAATGGTAGCCTCAGGAACTAGAGTCATTTTTTAAATATATTTTATTGATTTTTTATAGAAAGGAAGGGATAGGGATAGGAATCATCGATGAGAGAGAAACATCGATCAGCTGCCTCCTGCACACTCCCCACTGGGTAAGTGCCCACAACCAAGGTACATGCCCTTGACTGGAATTCAACCTAGGACCCTTGAGTTTGCTGGCTGACGCTCTATCCACTGAGCCAAACCAGTCATTTTTATTCCTTTTATTCTGACAATTCTCCCTGCGTGTATAAGGCAGCATTGTTTACGATTGTTTATGATTAGGAACCTGGTCCTAATGCCATACTATCTAGGCTTGAATCTGGGTTCAACTCTTTGAAGAACCCTGAGCAAGCATAGAATTTGAGGCATTTACTCAACCTGTAATTGCCCGCAGGCGCAATTTCTCTTGTAAAACAAGAGAAAATAATGGGATTTCCTGAGAATAGCTGATGTAGTAAATGTAAGGGCTTAGAACAGTGCCTGACACATAGCTATGTAAGTGTTTACAATTATTATCAACAGATATACAGTAGCACACTGGAAGGAAATATTGACAGTATATTAAAGGTTTAGGATTAAGCCAACAATAATTTTTATGTCCTTTCTTAAATAAGTTTACTAAATTAGTAATCATTGAAAAATTCTATTAAGGAAAGACAGTTAAAAAGTAAAAAGAAAATATATGATTAAATAATATTTATACATATTTATATTATGATAAACATTAGGAGAGGAAAATGCAAAGTGATGTAATGGAGAGCAATTGAAGAGGGATGGAGGGTTCTATTGTAAACAGGCTGTAATAGAAGGAGTTACATTTGAATGGATATGTAAAGGAGGAGCCAGAGTGGAATTAGATGGAGGAAGGTCACTTTAGGTACACACAGCTAGCACAAAGGATGTGAAACAGGAAGAACTTTGGTACATCTAAAAACAAGGCCACAATGTGTGATGTCTAATGGATAGGGAGAAAGGTGTTGAGAAATGACATTGGAGAGGTATTCAGAGGTCAGATCACATAGCATATGCTTTGAGTTACTTCTGAGGTGATGGGAAGCCATTGAGAGTTTTATGCAGGAGAGTGACAGTGTGACCTATGTTACAAATATTTACCTGTGGCTGTGTGCAAAGAATGATATGTAAAAGGGCAAGGAAACTGTGTAAGAGGTTGTAGAGTGTAGACAAAAGATTATTGTGGACAAGTTGAAGGAGGACAGGTAGATTTCATATTATGGAAGTAGGTGGTCCAGGCTTTGATGCTGGAGTGCTTGTGGTGAATAAAGGAAGAGAGATACTTAGGGTTTTGACATGAGGAATTTGGGTGGATAGTGGTGACTCTGAGGTAGGGAAGATCATGGGACCTCACGGGCCTTTTGGCTATCAGTAAGGGCAGCCTGGTAGAAAAGTGAATTGGTTCAAAAAATTATGTACCAGCAGTGTCTACACTCAACCAACATTGAATCTCCCTGTTTTATCCTCCAAAGACTAAAACTAAATTTATGTATGACATTTTCTTTAATTTCTGAGAAAATCTACCTAAAGTTAATTATCATAAGAAAGTTATGATAACGAATACTAAGAAAGAGATATTGTTGAAAGCAATTATTTCATGCCTAGGATTTATTGGCAGAATGGAAGTACTAAAATTAAACTGCATAGATGGGACATGAACTCTAGTCTTAGATCTACCATTATTAGAAGTATGAGGATAAAGTGTTTCCATATTGTCTCAGTGCTTAAGTTTTCATTCTAAAAAAAAATTAGGCCATTGAATACATTTTAAAATTGGCTTCCAGCTCTAAAGTCATATTCTTTTTTGACTCTATGGAAATTAGCATAGTTTAACCAGCCTTCCATCTAAAATATTAAATTTTTGCCACATTTTCTAGATAGTGATCTATTTTGTAAAGTTTTCAGCTCTGTAGCTTCAGGCATAAGCACAGTTCTTGATTTTGTTTAATTTGAGCATTATTTGTAAAACTGCTATCTGACGTAGAAGTTGAAACATGGATTAACATCTATAAATTTTAGGAAGAATAATAGAATGTTGGTGTTTGAAGGTAGGACAGAGATCTTCTTGCCAATCTGATATACAGTTCCCAGTGTAGTGCCTGATCATTTTGTAATTCATGGCTATAATTGTCCTGTATTGTGGGGTCACATCTGTTCTCCAGGGCATCACAGAGCAAATCTACTCCCAGATTCACATGAAAGATCATCAAATGTTTGGGAACAGCTGTTATGTACTCCTGGTTCCTATGGTTTCTTTTTTTAAAAAATATATTTTTATTGATTTTAGAGAGGAAGGAAGAGGGAGAGATAGAAACATCAATGATGAGAATCATTGATCAGCTGCCTCCTGCACACTCCTAACTGGGGGTCGAGCCCGCAACCCAGGCATGTGCCCTTGACTAGAATTGAACCCGGGACTCTTCAGTCCACAGGTCTACACTCTATCCACTGAGCCGAACAAGCCTAGGGTCCTATGGTTTCTTTCCTTCTGGTGAATTATCTCTAGTTCCTTCGAGTATTCTACTATTTCTTATAATACTATTGGCCTATCTATTCAGTTCTTAAGCTTCATAATCATCAGATTATTTATCATTCATCATTTGTACTTGCCTCAAGAAAATAAAATAAATATTAACCTATTCCAAGGTGGGTAGGTAGAATTAATGCTTTCCATGCATTTATTCAACTAGTATTAGTTGATCACTATTATTTACTATGTCCTGTTTTACACTTTGAGGTAATCAAGCATAGAGGGGTATTCTCTCTCTCTCTCTCTCTCTCTCTCTCTCTCTCTTTCTCTCTCTATTATTCTGAAAATAATGAGCAAAGCTTGATTTTAATTTATTATTATGGACCTTGAAACATAAATATGCCCTTTGGGAAAAGGCAATCTCACCAGCACAGACTTGGAACTGGATTGCCTGGGTCAGAAATCCAGCTCCACTATTACCAGTTTACATCCTTGGGGAAGTCATTCAAACTTTTTGATCCTCAGTTTCCTTCTCTCTAAAATGAGAAAGATAAGAATCGTATCTAATTTATGAAGTTAATATAATTTAAGGGCTCAGACATGAAGCACACACTATGAGAGTATTCGCTGTGGTGGGTTGTAGGAGTGGAGTGTGGCACTGAGGAGCTGTGGCTGTCCTTAGTGGGAAGAAAAGCTGTTCCAGCTTTCCATGCAGCCCCTCCTTGTTGGAGGAATGCACTATACCCAGTTTTCTTGAGGCAACGAGAGCTATAGGAGAGCTGGTGTTTGTGTTTTCTTTTTACCTCTTGGTATAGAAAAATAAATTTTAATATAGTTGGGTGTCCCTGAGACCCAATTCTACCTTGTCTTTAATAATAGCCTTTGATTTGCCTAGTTAATTTTCTCTGATATTAAAATAAACCTCACACAGCCCAGTGCTACCCCTTCTTCTGAAAGAGCTTTTGAAGTAAAATGGGTAAGGATTGAGGTCACAGTAATAGTGGTGGAGACCCATCACAAATGCCCAGATTATGTCAATACCTTTCTATTTTTTTTTTTAAGTGAAATCTTATCCAGCTTGAGCTTGCAGAGGTTCAGGATAGAATTTTGAAGAGAAAGAACTTTTCCCTGTTCTACACATTTTCAGCCTTGGTGAGCCCTCAGGCGTAATGTGTCACTTAGTAAGGCCATTGGCTCCATTTCCCTGGGCAACTGAAACTGATGGAAAAATCCCACATTTTCCGACTGAAGAGAATGTCACTGACTCTATATACCAGGGGTGGGCAACCTTTTTGTGAGTGCGTGCCCAAACCAGCAAAATCTCTGACTCAAAATTCTTCTGCGTGCCAACCCTAATATTTTGAGAACATGTTATGCCTACTTGATATCTCTTAAGGTGTACGTATGTGAAGAACCTTGAAGAAATAATAAAATTCATTCGAGCGACAAAAGCACAGTATATGATGATGAAAAATACATTTATTTTTTCAGGGAGAGAATGGAGAGGAAGACAGGAATAGAAACATCAATGATGAGAGATACTCATTGATTGGTTGCCTCCTGTAGACCCCCTACTGGGAATTGAGCCCATAACAGGCACATGTCCTAATCAGGAACCCTGGTTCATGGGTCAATGCTCAACCACTGAGCAACACTGGCCAGGCTCAATATATCTTTAGAACTTAAACTAGACAATGCCTACTTAAAGCCGTGTCTCTCCTTAGAAAATGTCTTTGGCACTCAGGAAAATGGAAATGAATTGTTTCCATGACTACACTGGACACTCATTTCTAATCCCAGATTATTAATTCCTGCTCAAGGCACATTTAGAAGCTTTCACAGATCATGGCCCACGGATTCAGATGGATTGGATACTTGTGGGATGTCATCCTAGCCATATTTACTGTAGGAGCTTTGCAACTGAAGAGAACTGGAAGGAATGTAAAGAGGAAATCTACAAAAAAAATTAGTTATGGACCAAAAGGGAAAAGTTAATATAGCTGGAAAAGAAAAACCATGTATAAAAGCACCTCGAAACCCAGTAATATATCATATGGAAATTTTTTTATGTTTAGTGTATTGAATATTTTCTCATAACCCCAAGAATAGAAGAGGCAAGAAATTTATATGTTCCAGCTGAATAAGTTGATGGATATTGCACAGATTTCAATGCTCTGGAATGCTAATTATAGGTATGTGCCTAAATACTTTACACATTACTGGTTCTATGTGAAGAAGCAGAATCTCATTATCAAATATTTAACAGTGACTTAGAATAATTTCCATTGCCTGAATCCAGATGTCACCAGTAGAACTGAAAAGGCCATCTAATTATTCTGTGGAGGATAAAAGGACTTTTTTTCAGAATAGATATTTCAGAAGATATCTACTTGGGACAAATCTAGGGATATACCGGATGTTATCCCAATAATCCACAGATAGAATTGAGATTAAAATTGACTTGAGGAAAAATAATGTGAATAGAATTTGTGTAAAATTTCAAATCTGCTCTAAATAGCACAGTGGGAGGCTGAGGTGAAAGAAAGCTATTTAATAGAGGTCAGGGAGAGTGTAAAATGTCTTCCAGGCAGGTGCCAGAACTGTGTTCGTAAAAAATGAAATGAAATGTCTGCTCAAATCCCCTTGCCTGCAGGATACTGATGGACATCTGTGGCCTGGTATGCGAAGCCTCCCACAGACAGTGTCCGGCCACAGAAGTGGCCCTCCCATGCCTTGTCCCCTCTCCTCTCACACACCGCATGCTTTCACCAGCTTAAGTGTGTGTCTGCACAGCTCTAAGCACTTTATCTATAAATCCAGCCTCTCACTTTGTCATCACAATGACCCTGCAAAGTAGATACCAGTCTCCTTCCCATTTTAGGGATGAGGAAACCAAACCACAGAGGGACTAAGTAACTTGCCAAGATGCTCTGCTAATAAAGAGCAGGAAGAACTGGACACTCCCAACACATGATGATGCCTTTTGGGTTTCCACACCGGGCTCATGTATTCTCTTTGCCTGGGATTTCCTTCTTCCTACTTCTTCCCCCTCACACACACTCT